GACGAGCTCCAGTTCCGCAAGTCCCGCAAGCGTCCCCGCTGCACAAGGGCCGAGATCAAGGGTGGGAGCCAGGCTGAAGAGGCCTCTGCTTTCTTCTTCTTCAGCCAGAGAAAAAAGTACCGAAAAAAAAAAGTCCCCAATGCCGCAGTGCTGCACCAAGATAGATGCGGGGCTCAGCCACACCAAACACCTCCAGGACGCCTCCTGACAGGGTTACTTGTGGTCAAGGCTGCAGCTTCATGCAGTAGAACTTCATCCCACCTTCTTCATGAGTTAAGGCACATGTATTGAAATAAAGCAAAACAAAACGTGTCCAATCAGTTCAACACATAGCCATCACTAAGGCATACATTTTCCAAGGACTTTTTTCAAAAAACAATCTCTCTCTTATTTTTGTCATTTCCAGCATTCACTTCATGCCATTTCATGACCTCTTCATCTTCGCAGCTGCAGCCAGTGCCCAAAGAACAGAAGAACTCCACCACTCTCAATGCAGTAGCCTGGTAGGAGCAGGAATATTGCCTGATTTCCATACACCACACCTCGACAGCAATCCTTTAGGAAGTGCAAATGAACTTTGACAGAGCCATGTTCCCTTGCCATACAGCTTGTGACTGCCCCATCTCAACATAAACATCAAACTAATCTTGCAAACATCCGAAGAACCTGAGAACTGACTTAACACTTGAACCCTGCAGGGGCAGGACTGACATGTGCCTGCTCCCTCCCAGGAACAGCATCCCTGTGCCCAAGGACAGAGCTACTGCACATTGAGCTTTGTTTTTATGTTCATGGCTGCCAGCTCTGCCACAAAATAGCGGAAGACATGGGGCACAGGGACAACCTCAACTGCATCCACCTCACTGCAGACAGAGCAGGAGTATCTCCTGCTGCTCGCCAGAGAGGACTGTGGCAGCTTCTGCAGCACAGGAGATGTCATGCTGCCACAGTTCATGCACACGTAGGCTATGGAGCCATCAGAGCAGTTGAACAGGCGATCTTGCAGCAGGAAAGATGTGCCGTGAGCCAGCAAGGCATCCCGCTCCATCTCGCCAAAGCGAATCCCACCTTCCACGTTCCTCCCTTTGATGGGCTGGTTGGTGACAGCATCTCGGGGCCCCGTTGTTCTCACCTGGAACTTGTCAGAGACCATGTGGCGCAGGCGCTGGTAGTACACCACTCCCACAAAGATCTCTGCCTCCAGCTCCAGGCCGCTGATGCCGCTGTACATCTTTTCTGTCCCAAAGAAGTTGTAACCTGCACTCACTAAAGTCTCACCGAAGTACTTCAGAGCAGACTTCTTCTCTGTGAAGGTGAAGGGAGTGGCATCATAGGAGACACCATGCAGTGCTGCTGACTTCCCCGCCATGCTCTCAATTAGCATCCCAATGGTCATACGGGAAGGAAAGCCGTGAGGGTTGAAGAGGATGTCTGGAACCATCCCGTTCTCTGTGAACGGCATATCCTCGACTGGCCAGAGCTGGCTCAGGATACCTTTCTGTCCATGACGGCTAGCAAATTTGTCTCCAACAGTTGGATTTCGGGGAACCCTCACAGTGATGCAAGCCTTCTTGAGTTTCCCAGTGCCACGGTCATTGCTGCACAGCCTAATGTTGTCCACGATGCCGACTTCCTTATTCCTGTGTAAGAACAATCACAACAAAGGCATCAGGTGTGGTAATAATTTTCCTTTCTTAGCTAAAAGTCAAGGAAGAAACCTAAACCACTTTGCAAGTCTTAAAAATGCATTGAGACAGCCAGGAAACAACACTGTTCTTCAAAGCACTAGCCAGTAGCGAGGGAAATCTAACTGCTAAGAATTAGGGCAAGGAAACAATAGAAGGGCATCTCAAAGGTACCAATCAGCTACAGCTTTCAGGGGATCAGGTAATTTGTCACCCATGATTTAAAATAAAGATCATTTACACCTGGTTCATCTGTATCACACTGTAATCTGACAAACTGCATCCAGTGCCATTTCCTTTGTGTTAAAGGAGCAGTCCCTCTCCGTAACCCCCGATAAATTCACACCATATTGGTGGGATACCAAAGTAAAGAACTGGGTTCAGTGTAAAACAGAGAGGAAAATTCAGAGCAGAAAGGGAAAGTTAAGTGTGAGCTTTGCCAACAGGTGCCTCATTCAGGGGGTGTGCTGCTTCTCCTGATGAACCCTCAGCCTGATATTCCATATGCTGTGTGTCCGCCGCAGGCTTAACAGAGCTTTCAGCCCAAACTCTCTACTTGTTTTGGAGACGACAGCTAAGGAATACATTTTCTCCCATTATAAGACAGGATTAATTTTCTTTTTCTCCTTTGAAGACCTAATGAACACAGTGTAGGCCTGTACCTAACTTTAGCTTCTGTTTCAAAGCTATTATTTTATCTTGCCCAAATGGAATTAGGAACAGGCCATCACAAAAAACCCAAACAAACAAAAAAACTCCTGTGCTTCATAAGCCTTTCGGGCTTGTTCAAACTTTTGAAGTCAAACCATCTGTCCTCTCAAGCCACACATAAGCATAATGTCCAGCACATGGAGCACTGAAGAGGCAGTGCTCCTTACTGTCCCAAGGGCCCTGGGCCAAATCTGGGGCAGGAGCCAACACTGAAAGCTGAGAGCCTTAGCTCTCTGTAGAAACCTAAATAATTACCATGTTTGCACCAAGGATGAATAAAACCTGAATGGTGCAGAGGCAAGATGGCTCTCTGGAAAAGGAACCTGAACTAAGAGCAGGCCAGCATAGGAGTGCTGGGTAGCTGGTACGTGAGGTAGGAGAGCCAGAGGACAAGTACACGGCTGAGGTTACAGTTCCCCACTACCATGTGCCAAATCTCTTAGCCCAGCTCTATACCAAGTTGACTAATTCTACGAGTCCACAGGAGACTCCTCAGTGCAGCCAAGGCAGCACCTGTCATGGAGTAATAAACAATGGCCTTCCCAGCTACGCCAGCTACTGTGTCCCCCCAAGTGCTTCTCAAAATAGGCTGCTTTCCCAACGTGACTAATTACACGGCACTATCCTCACTCTGTCAGAGGGACACAGGTAAGGCCTGAAGTTGTACAGACAACTGGGAGTGCAGGATGCATTTAAATACATCAGGTTTCGTCAAAGCTTTTGCTTCCCTTTCCTGAAAGAATTAAAAGGATTTTAATGAAAGCCTCAACAGCCTTCTCTTTCAACTGAAGTTCAAAAATCTTACAAAATATATCCCCAAAATATTCCAGGGGAAGGAGGGGTGTAGTTCACACATTTTAATATTCTAGCAACTTTGGAAGCTGCAATGTTAATAAAAATGCCCATTAAACCCCTAATCCTGTAACAACTTTGCTTACAAGGTTTTCCGGCAAGTCTCCGGGAACAGGCACTTTGCATTGTTATTCTGTTTGGTGGTCCTTTGCAGGTTTTTTTGGTTGGTTTTTTTTTTTTTTTTCCTCGACAGAACACCTTATGCAAGTCAATTCACAAAAAACTACAGAAAATGACTGTGGGACACAGGCAGAGGAGCAATCCTTGGAAGACAGCAAAATATTTCTTTTATATCCACCTCAGATTCTCCTCCTGGGATAAGTCAGCCTTGCAACATACACTGGCTTACAGAAGACATGTGACAGATACATGGGAGTCACCTACAACAGGAACTCCATGCTCTCTCTGTCAATACATGGCCACAATCATGGGAAAAGGGAACACTTGGAGTAAAAGGGCCAACTGCCCTTAAGATTGCTCACTGTAGGGTGAGTGAAGCCAGGAGAGACAAGCTATACTTACTTATAGTACACAGTGAAGGCCTCCCGTGTGTTGAGGTTCACATAGCTGTAGAAGGGGTCCCCAGGCTGTATGATGGAGCCGACAAAAGGCAGTCCATCACCATCCAGTTTTCCTATAATGTTTGGGTCGCCAGGCCTGACGCCAAATACTAAATTATCGCCTGCTGCACCGGCTTTCAGGGAAAGGTCAATGCTCTCCACCTTGATAACACTTCCATAAGCAAACCCTCTCTGCCAGGAAGATTTGTTCACAATCTAAAAAGAAGAAACAAAGGCCTGTTAAAGACTTGCAAATATCTCCAAAAAAAAGCATTTCCATTTTGATCTGATGTCTACCTTTGTAGTACTGCCTCCCTGAACAAAGCCTCCCAGGAAGTCACCATTCCAAAAGGCTCAAGACTTTTTCAATGCTGGAAGCCCATTGGCTTGCGTAAGTGAGCTCTGCTCCATTCCAAGTACCTCCAGAACTACCTGCTGTAATAACATTTAACTGCTGTGCTCCTGGATCTGCCCTAGTGTGAGGACTAGGAAAAGCAGAAAGCAGACTAGCTCTTCTCAGCTATATACCACCCCTTCTTCCCAGTCCCCCACATTAAGTTCCTTCACAGAACAGCCAGATTTCTCCTTCTGGTGACTCACCATTGCATCTTCCATGTCATAGCCACTGTAGGATATGACAGCCACGATTGCATTGGTGCCGACCGGATAGCTGTCCATACCATAATAATCATACATGCTGGGCCGCACCAGAGGGCTCTGCGGGGTGTGAAGATGGTACAGCTTGTTATCTGAGCGATCTTTGTAGTTATAAACTGGGAATCCCATGGTTTGCTTTCCTAGAAAGGAAGAAAATTGGACTGATTCAAGATCAGTTTAAAATTTAATGTATGTTTCATCCTCCATTTATCTTGTTAAGAAAAAAAATTGAAACAATTTAGAGAGATTATCAAATCTTTGAACCATTGGAATTTAATAGTTGCCCTAAGCCCAGCTGTAAAAGTTTATATGAACCCCAACACAATTCCTCGCATAGTCCTTATGAAGGGCTCTTTTAAATTTTATTTTCTACAATTTCAAAATCTTCAGTAAGGTTGGTACGGTGGTTTTGGGTTTGCTTAGTAGTTTTTTGGGGTTTTTTTCTGATGTTTTGGTTTGGTTTAGGGGGGAGAGGTATGTGTGTCTTCACTCCAGAGTTTCCCACAGTGAGCACATCTTACACATTTCCAGTCCAAAAAACATTTGCTTCTGCACTATATATATTTTGTCAAGAAAACCAAGTTTTGAATATAGTCACACTGGTACTTTCAGAAAAGTATGAAAAAGTATTAGCATTTTAAGGACATCTTTCTGATAATACTGTCAGAAACTCAATATGCCAGATGTGTTAATGAGGTAATGAGACCTGCTCTCTTCAAGTCCCTACCCACACACTCTTAACCGGTCTTTTTTTTTAATAAGCTTGCAAATCACTTGCACCTCAGCTGATTAAAACCCCACTACACACCCTAACCCAACTTCTTCAGACAATCAAATAAATCAATATAAAATCTTTGACAAAAGTTGTCAGAAAACCCTCTTGCCACAGTGCTGTGTTACTCCCTTGCAAGATGCCTGCTGTACAACAGCTGCAGCATCACAACAGCAGTTGCTCTCTGAGAACAGGTGACAAGGAAACCTCACCCCACCTACTGCAGCACACCTACAGCAGGCATCAGTCAGGAGCACGTTAACCCCTGCCAGCTGTGGGGACAGGACTGTTGGCAGCACAGCTGTTGGACACTAACACCACCACACAGCTGTGGTGCCCTTCACTCTCCTCAAAGCAAGAAAAAAAACTAAACAAAACTTAATAAAGGCTTAAGGAAGGCAACATGAGTGCAGCAGCCCAATGGAAGGCAGTCAGGATGATCAACTGGATTTCATTAACTTTGCCATGAAAAACATCATCAATCTTAGTGCTGAAGCAACAGCTGAGAAGAGCGGCTATTTGGGTATGTGGGAATACACACTGGAATAGACATGAGAGGGTTTTTTTCCCCACCCTCTTCCTTGCCTAGGGACTTGCAGCATTGGGTACTACAGCACTTACCCATCTGGCACTGGTACATGTTTCGTGGACTTTGGTTGTGGTCAGAGAAGGGAATGAGGTTGGCCACCACACTCAGAATGCTGTGAGGGAAGAGCTCCTGGTGAGTGGTCACTCCAGGCACCACCTCAGACTCCAGTGAGGCCACGTTCATGAAGATCTGCAAGCATCAAATAGGACAATACTTGTTCGCTTTCTTCTTTTAAAGGGAAGGAATCAAAACAAACCTGTCTCCAATGGTTTTTCATCTGTTTCAGTTTTAGCTGTGGTTGTTGTCTGCACCTTAGTGTATCAACAGGCAAGAAAAGTCAGCTGGTAAACCACTTACCACCAATCACAGACAAATGGCAAGGAAAGCAAGTCTGGAAATACAAAACTGCAGTGGCACGTCCTACTTTCTATCTCCCATTTGAATTGTTCCAAGTGGGCAAGTTCCCCAGCAATCCATGTCTTGGCTGATCATGGGCAATTTGGAGAACATGATGTAACACAAGATGATGCAGTACATACACAACAGCAATCCTTCACGTCAAAAGCTTCACGAAGTTAATAGTGAGAGCAGATTTCAAAATCTCACAAAGACCTCCACAGTCCATCCAGGACATTTACCGGAAACTAATTAGCAGGAGGTGAAAGAACCCTTTTGTCATCTATTCTAGCTCTTCAACACAAGTTCCCCTGTGCCTCATCCTCAGCTCTTTTCACAAATATTTTCCAAATCCACTTCTGATGACAGGTAGTTCTCTAACATGAAAATATGCAAACCTCACCTGTTCCAGAGTGCCAATCCATTCATTCCTTCTGTACAACAGGTTTCTGACAGGTCGCACCATTCGGCAAGAGGTAGTAAAGATGAACAACCCAGGATACAGACTGGGTTTTCCTGTCATTGGGATAAGGACCACTTCTGCGCGTGCAGGAAATCTCTGCTCTTGTGTTATCTGTTTGTGCAAAGAAACACCAATTTAGAAACACAAACCTTAGTTAAAATGCATCCAACAGGTTACACAATGAAAATGCTAACCCCAGTTGTAGCCACTAATAAAAAAATGATGAAGATCTTAAAAATAGTTCTAGAAAAATATTCAGCAAGAAATTACAGAATATGTCTATCTTAGATCTTTCAAGGAAAAAAATTTATCTAAGAATTATGACTTCATGAACCAACAAATGAAACATATGGAAATCAATAAGAAAAACAGATAAGCCCACTCCATTACTAATGTACAGCTAAAGATAACTTACTGGGTCAGATTTCAAAAATAAATAAATAAATGGGAGCCTAAGAAGTTCCAAACATGCCTGGTTTTGACCACTGCATATTGAGGATGTTTAGGCTAAGAAGCACGTTAAACCAGACAACCTTGAAACGGCGCAGAGTTTCTGCAATCTTCAGAGCCAACTCCCCCTCTACCCAGCCCACCACAGACCCATCCAGCACAACTCTGTAGCACTCTGCATAAGGCTTGCTGGGAGTCACATCGATGGGGGTGACACCTGTGGGGAGAGGGGAACAGCCAAACAAAACACAAAAGTTATTTCTGCATCCAGTCTTAATCTGCACCAAAAAGCTTTCTGAGGCACTAAAAACTTCAGACCTTGTCCTGATTTTAGCTGGGATGGAGTTAGTTTTCTCAGTAGCTAGTGTAGTGCTGTGTTTGGATTCAGAGTGATAATACTGTTGACAGTACACTGATGTTTTGGTTTTGCTAAGTTGCGTTTATCCTAAATCAAGGACAGTTTCTTTCTTGTGTCTTATGCTCTGCCAGTGAGAAGATACACAAGAAACTGTGAGGGAGCATAGCTGGGACAGGTGAGCTGAACTAGCCAAAGGGATATTCCCCACCATGGCATGTCATGCCCAGTATATAAGCAGGAAGGGGCTGATCCGGGGGGGGACGGGGATGGTGAGCAATTGTGCCGGTCCGCGGGTGGTGAGCAATTGTATTGTGCATCACTGATTTTGTTCTTTTTATTATCTAACAGCATTTTAGCTCATTCTGCTCTTTATTATTATAAACTGTTCTTATCTCAACCTACATATTTTACTTTGTTCTCCTCCCCATTCCTCCAGGTTGGAGGGGAAGGGGGGGAGGAGGGAGTGTGAGCGGCTGCGTGGTTCTTGGCTGCTGGCTGAGGTTAAACCACAACAGACCTACAGGGCAAAGTTGCAGATTATTTAATGGAAAATAGGACACATTCACAGCTAAGAATACCATTCCCCTCCCCTTTTTTCTGACTGAAATAAGGATTCCCATTATTGTGGTAATAACAAGTGAGATGCAGTTCAATTAAAGGCACCAGCAGCATTACAAAGTGGAGTTAACTTTCTTCACAGTGACTAGTATGGGGCTATGTTTAGGATTTGTGCTGAACACAGGGTTGATAATGCAGAGATGCTTTTGTTATTGCTGAGCAGAGTTTACACAGAGCCAAGGCCTTTGCTGCTTTCCGTACTGCCACGCTGGCAAGGAAGTTGGGGATGCATGGGAGACTGGGAGGAGACACAGCTGGGACAGGTGAGCCAAACTGACCAAAGGGATACTCCATAGCATATGACATCATGCTCAGTATATAAGGTGGGAGGAAGAAGGAGGAAGGGGGAACATTTGGAATGACGGCGTTTGTCTTCCCAAGGAACTGTTACGCATGATGGTCCCTGCTCTCCTGGAGATGGGTGAACACCACCCGCCCACGGGAAGCAGTGAATTAATTCCTTGTTTTGCTTTGCTTGTGTGTGTAGCTTTTGTTTTCTCTATTAAACTGTCTTTATCTCAACCCATGAGTTTTTGTAGCTTTTACTCTTCTGATTCTCTCCTCCATCCCACTGGTGGGGGAGTGAGGAAGTGACTGTGTGGTGTTCAGTGGCTGGCTGGGGTTAAACCACGACAGCATTGAACTCTTACACTCTCCAAAAAGCTGCCATGCCTCTACAAGTGATATGTTAATTACTGCTCAGCAGAAGCACAGTAACTACAGGTTCAACATGATTTCAACTTCTCACCTTAATAGTGTACTGTGATGCTACATGGAGAACTTTTCCCAGTTACGGACTGGCAGGGCAGAGACGTAAACAGACAATCAAGCCAGGAAAACATACCTAGGGAACATAACAGCAGCGGAATGTCTGTTGAAGGCACCATCTCCGTCACTATTTCACACACAGCTGTCATGTGGTTCATCAGGCCACACGGTTCTCCATCCGGGGTGTCCACAGGGCACAGGAACCCCCAGGACTCCGGCAGCAGCTTGCGGACAGTTGTAGTTCTCATCTGGGAAAACACTGCCCCTCTGTGTATGCAGCGGAAGTGGGAAAGGTACCGGATGAAATTCAGCTTGTCCCCCACCACACACAGACCACTGTCCTGCAACATGCCCAGGCCTTGGGAACAAAGTTGAGATTTATGTCAGGATGTCATCCAGCTTTAACAAATACAGTATGTTACAAGGCAGTTTATTGTTTTCCACTAACAATCCCCAAAGACGCTCACACGGGATCCCAAGAACAGAAGCACATGTCCTGCTGCCTGTGCACAAGCAACTCAGTGACCTGTGAGAGACCTAGAGACTTTAAATTCCATGCTACCCCTTAAAATACAGTTCCTTTAAGAAACATGTGAAAACCATTCCCAGTGAAACAACTGGGAATTTGCAGCTGGTACTTTTTAACCAAAATTCTGCAGCCTTTTAATCTAATTCAATTTTGTAGTAGATATTCCATTACAGCATTGTCATACCAGACACTTCAGGGAAGCATCAGGTAAGTTTGAAATATAATGCCAGCAAAGCAGTTTCTCTCCATTTAAGCTCACATGACCAATGGAGCATTTCTGATTAAAAAATGTCACTTCTCTGTCTTACATTACACCTTCTAAGAAAAAATTATCTTTAGGAAAACAAATCAAAATACAGTTCCTGTTTGGGACAACGATAAATTTAGTTGTTGAGGCTTTGCTTTAATAAGTAACATACCATGCACAATGCCTATGCTTGTGGAAAAATCTTGCCTTTTTCCTCAACTATGCCCTTCCTCAAACCCCTTTCATTAACTCAGTTACAGTATACAATGTCTACCTACAAGCATTTGTTTTCAGTCAAGAGCTCAGTTATAAGTTGTTCCTCATTCTGTTATACAGGAAAAAAGAAAAAAGGCTCCTTAAGCCTAAGGATTTACCAGTTTTAGATCGCAGGTTACCAGTTGCAAGAAGATACTCAAATGGCTTGGTGAGGTCTGGTGCCAGGCTGAATGCCTTCATCAAGCTGTCTGCATTTATGCTGATATCTGCCTTTTCTGCTCTTTTCTCCAAAACGAACTTAACAGATTGTAACCAACTTTCAAGCCTCTCCTACAGTTTAAAAGTGAGAGATTTAAATTTAAAGCAGAGAAACAAAGGCTCAAATTAGAACTTCACATCAGTTGCACATGCTACAGAAGCCCTCTGAAATCAGCAGGATGGACAACTCCTAGGAAACTGACAGTTTTCCAGCCTTATTTCCCACACCGACTTTGTTTTATCAAAAACACTGACAGTATCATGTCAACACAGAGTTGCAAGGAAAACACCCACCCAACAGCTCAGTGATAACTTTCACCCAGACTGGTGCTGAGTCTGGCAAATGGAAGTACAATCACAGAATTTCATAATGCACTAAGAAAACCCAAAGCAGAAACTGTTCCTATAATCTGAACTCAAGAATAACTCTGCTAAATACAGTGACAAAGCAAAATGAAGTTCAGATACCCAAATCTGAAGGCCATGGGAAGACAGTATTTAAATGTTGCTGCCACAATCAGAGATACTGGACTGGATTTTCATTTTATCTGTAATTTTAACACTGCTGTGATCTTAGATACCATGTAAGAACAGGGAAAAGTATACAAGATACCCATCAATGCTTCAAATTCCTAACAAAAAGCCACTCTACACAGCCACACTGTGTCTACTGTATGTTAGCTCACTCTACTGATGATCTGACAAGGCTAGGCATGAAAACAACCTCTTCTGGTTTCTGGTGGCTGTTTCATACAGCACTAAAATGCTTACCCTGAACTCACTTTTAATTTTATTCCTGAGCTCACAAACCACCCTAGAAGAGAGGTTTTAATAGTCTTTCAACAACAACAAAGAAACACTAATGAAATTTTTGGCTAAAGGGGAAAAGAAAGGTTAAAGAAAAGTTATTCAATAACTTCAATATATTTAGTACCCTACAGTGAGACAGCCAAGACTTCTTCAACTACACTGCCTGAAAACTCTACACCCAGCACTGGTCTCATTGTTCACTGCACATCCAGGCTCCCTGCACTTCAGCCTGGCTCCTGCACTTCTCCTGACCCCATGGTCACTGTGGGGTCTGGACTGGATAGCTATTACATTCACAGGCTTAAACTTCTTAAGACCTTACCTTTAAGAACATGAGGAAAAGCTGTCCTGGGGTAAGCACCTCCTGATTCATGAGACTGTCTGGATTATCTTCCATGCACTCCCCCTTGGCAAACGCATATAGCTTCTGGGTCATCATACACAGCAGGTAGAACTTCTCAGTTCTATTTGTCAGGTGTATACAGATACATTTGCTGGAGGAAGAGAAAGAAGCAGGACAACTAACCATCTCTTCAAGCTAGCTGTTCTTCAAGTTTCTCTCAAATAACAGTAAACCATTTTTGGGTAAAAATCCTAACAAGGCAAAAGCTTTTCCAGTTACTCTTTGTGAAATGAAAATTCCTATAAATAACAACAGTGAAATGAAAAACAAACAAACAAAAAAAAACAACCCACAAAACCAAAAAACAAACAACACTCCACCAAAAAAAACCAAACCCCACAAAAAAACCCCTACCCCAGAGATTGAGTTGAAAAATTATCAACTTGTCTTTTTAAGGGTCTAGTTTTATGTTAAGTGTATTACTTATAAGAAGGTGAACCTTGTGAAAGACTCATTTTACACACTCCAGTGTTACATGTCTTTTAAGTATACAGTCTGTGTAAGCAGATGTTTGACTTGAGGCCAGCCAACAGATGATGTTTGTGTGTTACTTTACAGTAGTTATGACACCGATCATACACACACACATATCCACATAGCTGCACCCCACCCCAAACCTGAGCTGGAAACTAGTAGTAAACCACAAAACATTTCTGTTAAAACTATCAGTGTCCTGACACAAATTCAAAATTTCCACTGCTATCACCTGTGGAAAACTGTGGGCTGAACAATGCTCCGGCACAAGCAAAAGGGAAACCAACACCTAATTCCCACTAACGCTGGTTGAATGCTTTCCAAGACACTTGAGATCACTTGCTCTCTAAGACTCAAGTGCACTAGTCCTTCATCAACACTCAGACTTTTTTTCCCCCAGCTTTACACTTCAGCTCTACATCACCCTCGATTGAGGCCTTCACAACCTCACTGCAAAGTAAGACAGAACTCCGAAGGCAGATTCTGTCCAGGTAAGTTACAGTTCTGGCTTACTTACATAAGGGTACAACTCAATTCATGTTTTCACTATTTCTCCTCCTCCATCTCCTCAGATGAGGCTAATAAAGTGTACAGAACATATAAAATAAAAACCCAAAACCACAAGACAAACCAACCCCCACACAACCCACCGACCAGGATATTTAGAAACAAGAAAATCAGAATAATGCCAGCTTTCTTCAAATTACCCACTCACACTTCTCTGTACAAAGCTCTGGGATTTCAAGTGATCTATGGATTGCTACAGTGCTTCAGAGAGGCACCGGCATGCTGCCTTCGTGTTTCCAGCCACCAGATCACTCCCTATTTACAAGTACTCAGGGACTTGGGCACCCCAAATGATCCTTTTCATGTGCTAAAAAACCTCTAAGAGGAAACACCTCCTTTACCAGAAAACCAAATTATTTAGTTAAAAGCCTGCCACACTGACAAACTCAAAAGCCAGCTCTTATTTCACAGAAGATGCAAAATTTTAAAGCATCTATTTTCTACCATTCCCATTTTACAAGATAAAAGTAATTGATAGGTGACAGCAGTTGTGTGAAACTGGTAACAAACTGCATTATTTCTGTTGAACAGAAATAGCCTAAAGCTGTCACAGACCTAGCTTTAACCTTCTCATCCTTAATCTTGAATATATACGTTTTTCATCAATTACATCACAAAAATCACACCTAAGTAACAACTAATACTCTCTCCTGAAACCATTTTGGGAATACTTGTGTCAATCCACTAAAATACATAGTTGTGAACACAGCAAATACACAGGTCATTATAATATCCTGGAGTCGAATCAAAAACTGCCTGCTGGTTATCGTTTTATAAATGTGAAAACCAAAATAAAGCATGATGTAACCTGTCACAGTACTTTTACACCTGCCTATAAATTCAATACAAGTACACCGAATCACACACTCCTACATACATACTTCAGAATGAAATCTGCAGCCTGTTCATTGCTGTACCACTCAGGAAGGTTGAGTTTTATTCTGAAGCTCCTTCCCAGGTATTCAAGGACGTTGTGCTGTGTCAGACAACCTGCTTGCACTACTGCTCTCATCATCTCCGTAACACAGTTCACATAAAAGGTGTCATGTTCCCTTCCTCTGACCAACTCCTCAAAAATTTGGTAGTCTGGGAAATTAACTAATGCCTGAAAGACAGAAGTGTGTCAGATCAGAAAAATAAGGTCGTAACAGTATCTGTCTATAAAATACAACTGAAGGACCAAGGCACTCCATGATTTAGGTTTTCATTCTGGTATTTATCTGGAAATACCCTTCCACAAAGCAAAGTTGAAAAACGTGGGGTTGAGGTGCTTAAGAGTATAATGCAGGGGACATTCATACCCTGATAAGGATAGCAAGTACTCCCAATCCAATGAGGATTTGTTTTGTTTTTTTTTAAACCCCAAATGCTTCTCTTGTTTAGGTAAGATTAACCAATATCTTTACAGAATGAGTTCACTTAGAAACACCAATTTAACTCACCATTGTCTCAAGCTGCTATTTACTCTTATACAAACCAACACGCAAATTAGCCCTTTGATGAAGGCTATTAGAATAAATCCCCTTTCTTTCAGCACTTCATTCATATACTAAAGCTTGTCATTAAATCCAACATTCTTAGCTTTTGGCTTGATAATGCTTTCCTGCTTGTTTCTTGTTATGCAAATTAACTGTCCACCAATGACTTCTACATTTACTGGCAAATGTGCCTCACTTTTAAGCAATCTATTTGTTCAACACATTTAAGCAGGCTTTAAAAAGTTCAAGAAAAATTGAAGGCTACATGAAAAAGACACTAAGGCAGATTTCTTCATAAAAGGAGGGAATGTAAGCTCAGTTCTGCTGCTTGGGAATCATGATACATAAAATCTGGAAGAAGCCAGAGTTCGTGCTGACTCTTTCACAAGTGGGGAGAGCACTGGGATGATTACACAGCAAAACCAAATCAGAATCAGAGCCAGAACTACTGTGGAGCTGCAGTAGCAGCAGTCAGACCTAGATGGGCCACCAGGAAACCAGCCCAGAACTGACCCCAACTGAGGCTGAGATGGAACATTTGACTGTCATTCTGTTTTAAGAAGATTCCTGAGATCTTTCACATTAGGTGGCAAACTTTCCAAAATCTATTAATCCAGATCATTCATAAGCAAAAATACATGAACCCTCTCCTGACCATGCACACATCTTCCCTGCTGCAGCTGAGTGCAGGCACAGGCTCAGTCTGAACTACACTTCTTCAGCCAGTACAGGAAGGACGACTGAAAATGCTTAAATGAAATTAGCTTCTTCTCACTACCAAAAATAAAAATGCTTAGCAAAACTTCTGTATTTGTTCAACACAGAAAGCATTTATAGTTTACCTTCAGAGCAAATCCCAAGGGAAGGAAGAACAACTCCTTATGAAAAATAAAATTCACCATGACACAACCATTTTCCAAGTAGTGAAGGTTCATATTTATTGCTGTGTGCTCATCCTTAACACAGTGCATCATTACTCCTGCAAAAATTAACATAAGACCAATGTGAGCTGTGCAAAACCAACTGGCTGCATTGCTGTGATATGCCCAAGCAGGTGTGAGGCAATTCATGGGAGAAACTTTGGTACTTGATGGCTAAGAACAAGAGGCAGATCAATCTTTCAGCATCAGTGTGCCACTTCAAATAAACACGCCAGTGCAACTCAGTTTTCAACAGACCAGGGCAATGTCTCAGACAGCCAGCACACTTTCTCAGAGGCTTAGAAGGTGCATAAAGGAACAAGCCTCAACTATTCTGTCTGTAACCTCAGATTCTAAGACAGAGTACTTGTGTGTTGTTCTAACTGCACTCTGGGCCAAGTTTTCACTTCTGTGTTTGGGTGGTAGTGCTCAAGCAGTGTCTCTTGGTCCTGTTCCACACTATCCACTGCAGGACAAAGAAAAATAAACCAAAAAGGACTATTTAAAATGGCATTGCCTCAAAACAAACTAATGTGGAACCACGGTGTGTGCTAACGTACCACAGTCCAGACAAATCAGCAGCTGATAATACCTGAGTTTAAAACTATTTAAAATTTCTGGCTTAATTTAAACCAATTTTGCTGAGTATAGATGACAAAGGTAGGGGACAGCCAAGAACCTACTTAACCTACTTCATGTAAATTAAATCTGCCACCTTGAAAACCAATTAAACAAGTTCAGTGGTTTACAGTGACTTCTGCTGAAGGTAAGGTTTGAGTTACACCTTCCACATAATAAAAGGTGACCTGTACTCCAAGGTCTGGAATACAGCCTCCCTTGCTCCACATAGGCAGCTCAGACAGCTCCCACAAGGCAAGCACCTGCCTCGTGCTTATACTGTTATGGAGGCATTTACCCGTTATTTTTTACATGCAGTAAAAAACACAAACATTTTACAAGAGCTACAACAAAACAAACTACCAAATTCAGCTACAGATGGTCACGCCTGTTTGTCTTCAAGTAGTTATTAACAGGATGCTGCAGGAAACCGCTCAGCTTACCGTACTCTGTGAAACCAGGGCCTCTGTTTTTCCACTTGTGTCTTGCCACTGCAAGAGGGAAATTTCGCCTGGGCATAATCAGCAACCTAACAACTTTTTCTAAGCCATTAATTATAAAGTAGCCTCCCATTTCCTGCCAGGAGAAGAAAAATTATTTTTAATGTGCTTAGAAACTCATAACCAGAATTTTAAGACAAAAATACTTGTATTATACAGTAAAATAAATATTTAATATTTTAACTAGGAAACACATTGCAAGACATGTTTCAGCACTGCTTTTGGAAAGGTTGCACTTCTTACCAGTGACTTATCAAGCTTAAGTGTAGTACAGATTGCAAGGAAAGGTATGCACGTTCTTCAATTTAAAGGAAGAAAAACAAGCCCAAAAGTCTGCATGGTCAATGCAATGTATCTGAAGAACTGACATTAACTACTTCAAATAAATAAATTGAAGCTCTTTTTTGAGTTTATAAACCAGAGGAATCTTCAGTGCAGAAAAACCTCTTTCTGGTCACATATGAGCTTATTTTTCTGATTTCCTTTTGTAGTTTGCTCACTCTTTTTGTGAGTACAAAGCACAGTACTAAATAATTCTGTATTCAATTAGACAGCTCACATGCTACTGGGGAGATAAGGAAAAAGCTGCAGAGGCCAACTGAGAATGAAAACTTCTCTTTAACTCTTTCAATGCCTGTTCCCCAAATGTTCATCTCCACAGATATCTCACAGCTGCACAGACTAAGCTCCTGAGTAGCAGTTCAGAGGTTGTATACTGAAACTGTAGGTATCGGCATCAAACAGCTCTCTGTACCCAACAACAGCTGTGACTGCAAATTTCTCAAGATGCTTTATGCAACCACCATAAACAAGGTACATCCAGGAAAAATAGCAAGTCAAACTCGAAACAAAATACAAACAACTCAAGCCTTGTAAAGAGATTCTGGCCTGATGGACTGCTGGGGTAAAATGCAGGTTTTCCTGACCCACCAAATCACCATTACCTCCTCCTCTTCGTGGTGCTCCATAAGCTCTTGTGGGGAAAGATTATAAAGGCTGCACAATTTGGATTTCACCATGATTGGAATATACCCTAGGGGTTGCTTGATATTCCCCTGTGGTACGTCATTCACTGACCAGCTGATGTCAGCCTAAAATGATAAAACACCAAGAGTAAGCTAAGTTGCCCTTTTAATATTTCTTGTTGTATTAACTGTACATTTCATATAACAACAAGCAGCCTAACAAAACTTCTGTCACTTTAAAATGGTAATAATAATAATAAGCAGAACTGGTAGATGCATGCATAAAGATGACACTCCGGAAAACAGTCAACATGGGTTTACAGAAGAAAATGACACAAGTCTAAGTAAGGAAGCTGCTAGGTGAATGAGCAAAGTCAACACAGTTTACTTTGCCTTTCAGGTGCTTCAACAGAGCAGCCTAAATAAAAAAAAGGCAGCCACAGGATAGGAAAAGAAACCTCAGAAGTTAAGTTAAAAGTAGAAGGAAACAACAAGTGTTCAGTGAAAGGACATCCACACCACAAGCCTTTCCTAAGACTTCTTCACTAACCATGTTCATGAGTGATCTGAAAAGCGAGAAACAAAAGCATGTGGGAAAGAAAATAGTTTATTTACAATAACAAGATCTGGCAGTGGGTCTCCAGAAGGATTGTGGGAGCAAACAATCCTAACTTTACATGCAGAATGTCATACTTTAAAAGAGCTACTGCCGTGCAGGAAAGAAACACTGGCATTGCCATACAAGAACATTGGTTCAACATCTGTCAACAGCTAAGAAGAGTAAACCGAGTCCTAGAAATTACTAGGAAAGGGAAGAGAAATTTTCCTGTGCCCCTCTAAATCCACAGTGCAGCCTTACACAAAGATTACTGCACCGTTCTGGTCTATACCTTAAGCAATGACTAAAGCAGCTCCCATATGAGCAGCCATTCAGCAGACTGGAGCTCACTTCTCACCTTGGGAAAGTGGGAACGGCAGGAAGAAATTGAGGGAGGTATATGTGGATAAAGCAGCATGGTGGAAACAGGGAATGACTATTCACTACTTCCTGTGGGGCATGGGCAGGGAGTGGGAGAGACCAACCTGCCCCAGCCCAAAGCAATGCCTTCTCATACAAGACACAGCAAACTATTTTATCCAACTGCTCCAACCATTCCAAACATAATAAACAGACAAACAATGGGAAAGAAAAAAGATGGGAAATAATTCCACTATGAAAAATAAAAGCATCTCTAGCTCAGGAAAATCTAAGAGCCACTGGAAATATGGCTGTGAATAATTGTGACTGCTCCACTTTCATGGTCAGATAAGATACTGCACTTAGAATAGCTTTTATCACGGTAAGGTGTAATGCTTTGGACAAATAAAGAGAAATCAAGACGAAGTTCCAAGCAAGCACACCCTTGCACCGGGTGCCTCAGGTAAGCAATGAGCTCCAGCACAATTACAGAATTTTAATGGAAAATAGCAAAGGCTTTCACAGTGCAAAGGAAAATATCTGCTTGGGGATACTTCCTCTCGAGGCAAGTTTCAGAGGAATTCAGAAAAACAATATACTTATGCCGTGAACAAGAGAAATTTATAGCTCTGAGCTTCTGTACGGGAGAAACGCTGCTTTGGCAATATGGATCCCCGCAGAAACAACATTGGATGGCCATGCACTCCGGGATGACACGGGTTTCATCCAAGGCCTTCCGAGCCGGCTGCCTGCTTCCAGGGCGAATGTGACAACAGCGTGGAGAACGCGGCAAGGATGCAGCGGGAAAGAAGGGCAGCGACAAGCTCAAGGCGCAGGGAATTTTGTGTGGTGAGCTCACACCCACCGAGACCCCAGAGCCACGCGGGACAGCTCTCTCTGAACGTCCCCAAAGGCGGTGAAGCAGGGAAGGGTCCTTTACCGACGGCACAGGGCTCGGCGGGCTCCGCTGCCGCGGCGTG